GAACTAAATTATATCACATATATTCAAGGGGCAATTGCAAAAATTCTACTTTTAGTGTGTACATTTGCAATAATGCCACTTAAAAGTGTCCATTTGCAAAAATACCACTAATTATGGATTTTTAAAACCTAAATCTTAAAATTATAAGTCCTAAAAAATGTTTTGACTCCTAAAACCCCTTAAACCCTCAAAATTAAATCCTAATAAAACATAGTTAACCCAAACATAAATGATATAATGAATTTTTTTTTTTTAAAAAATGGCATTTTTGCAAATTTTTTGAAAATGTGGTATTTTTGAAAGGTGGCATTTGAAAAGTGGCATTTTTTGAAATTTCTCTATATTCAAATAGTTAAATATTTCTAATCCTATTTAAAATAGGATTATATTTTACTATTTACCAAATCAAAATATTATTATTTTTAAATAGATAAATATTTTGAAATGTGGCTAAATCTAATTTAAAAATTATTTTATACTTATATAAATATAACCGATTGACTCAAACATATCTCGATAAGATTAATTACTTTCTATAAAAATTCCAATTTTACTTTTACCATTTCAGTAATTATTAAACGTTAAAAAAAAATCAAAAAAATTTGGAAAAATAAATTACGACACGTCATATCAATGTTGCCAATAACAAACAAAAAATCGAGTTAGAATGAATCATATTAAGCTCAGAAAACTAATATATATTGTCGTATTCAATTTCACATATCGGAAAATATAATAATCTTTCTTTTCTAATGAAAAGCCAAAACAAATAAATTTTATGAAAAATATTATTGAAATTTTAAATTGCGTAGATAGGAGAGAGCATAGTGAAAATTTGGACATTTAAACTTAAATCTATTCAAACTAAAAAAATTACATGTATATCATAATATCCCAATAGAAAAAGGTATTTAATTTATTGTTTTATCTATTTCTATTTAAAATTAAAATATCTAATTGATAAATACAAATAAGTAAGTTTTTATTTTAAAAAGCTGTTTGACATCTGGC